AGAATTGATGCCTTTGAACTGTGGTGCTGGAGAAGAGTATTGAGAATACCATGGACTGCTAGGAAAACAAAGATTTGTCCTGGAAAGGGTCAAACCGGGCTGCTCCTTGGAGGCAAGGATTCTAAGGCTCTGTCTAATATACTTTGGACATGCTGTGAGGAGAGACCGGTCCTTGGAGAGGGACATCATGCTTGGGAGGGTGGAGGGACAGCACAGAAGGGGAAGGCCCTCTATGAGGTGGACTGATTCAGTGACTGGGGTAATCAGGATGGGTGTGCTGGAGACGGTGCGACTGGCACAGGACAGAGCAGAGTTTAGGGCTGTTGTACATAGGGTCGCTATGAGTCACAAGCGACTCGATGGCACATAACAACAACAACTCTGCCTCTTTTAGTTTATTCCATGAAAAGAAAGGACCTCTGCTGACCCAGTGCTAAGCACTTAGCTGATAAAGTAAAGGTTAGTGGTCCCAGCTTCTCCATGGGTGCTAGATGTGGCAGTTTGTGTCCATAGAAAAAAAAAATCACAGCCGTAGAAACCCTATGAGGCAGTTCTATTAAGGTCACTATATAGCACAGTCAATTTGATGGCAGCAAGTTCCCATTTTGTTTCTATGAAAAGACTAAACTCAGAAATTGTCAGACTACATATCCCTCAATCTGAATGTCAGGTAATGTACCAACAGATTAAACACATGGATATAGCTTACTGCCACGTTTACTTAAGGCAAAGTGGACAAATTCCACCCTTACTGCCAGCTATGTAGTAAGGACATTCCAATTCTTACTTCTAAGTGGATCCAGACCCCATCTTGCTATAGCTTTTTCATCAACAATTCCAAACAGTGGGAGCTCTGGTGGTTCCATACGGAATCAGGAGAAAAACGAGCCCTCTCTTCCTGTGCAATTTACTGTCTCTGAAAACATGCTAGAGGGTCAGCTATGGGTAATTTATGACTCCACAGTACACAACAATTCCCAACAGCATGCTATCTCACCCTTACCTGCCTAGAACCACATACTGCATGCCTGCCACAAGTGTAGGTAGTTCTGAGGCCCTAAACTGGTGACTTTTTCTCTCCAAATTATCTGCTCCTGTAGCCCTTCTCTGATCCTACACATCCTGAGCCAGGCCAGAACACACCAGGCAAGAGGGCAGCACATTCCTCTTCACCATGAAAATTTTATGAAACAGCAGTGGGACATTTTCTGGTATAGTGTTGGAAGATATTAAAAATATGACTGGGGAAGAGCTGCCTTCTCAAAGTAGTCGACCTCAATGATGCAAATGGAATAAAGCTTTCGGCCAACAAAGGAGCTTCACCTGCTGATGTGGCATCAATCATTTATACGACTTTTTTTCCATGATAATCATCTTTATTACTTGCCTTTGAAACCTGCCACAAAGAAGACTGAGCCCACGGAAGAATCTTAAAACAGAAATTCTACCTAATGTTTCAGGAAATAATCTTTTTCAAGAAACAGAATGAAATCCATCTCTGGTTCTTCCATTTCTCCTGAAGTTTTCCTTTAGAAAATTAGTTTCCCTTCCATCTACAGTCTAGTTACCTCCTCAGATATGTTTATCAGATGACGTCAAGTTGAGCACAACTCACAGTGATCCTATGAAAGAGAGATTTGAACTCTGTCCTATCCTGTGTCATCTTCACAGTTTCTGACACACTTGAGCTCATCGCTGCAGCCATCATGCTAATCCATCTGGTTGAGGGTCTTCTTCCTTTTTGTTAACCTTCCAATTTTCCAAGATTGATATCCCTTTCCAAGGAATATCTCCTCCTAGCAACATGTCCAGAGTAGGAGAGACCAAGTTTTGCCATCCTTGCCTGCACGGAGTACTTTGGCTATACTTTTCTGAAAACATGTTTGCTCTTTTGGCAACTGATGGACTATTCAGCACTTTGCTCCAACACCACAACTCAAAGGTATCAATTATTTTCCTGTTATCCTTATTTACTGTCCAGTTCTCAGACACATAGCAAGTGACTGAAAAGACCATGACCGGAATCAGGTGTATGTTAGTCCTCAAATTGATACTACTGCCCTTCAGCAATTTGGAGAGGTCCCTGACAGTGGACTCGCCAATGTAATACATCTCCTGACTGCTGACTGCTGGTACCAAGAATGTGGATTGTGGATCCAAGTTCAGATGAACTCATTAACATTTTCTATCTTTTCTCCAACTATCATGATGCTACTTACTGTTCCGGTGGTGAGGATTTTTGTCTTCATGATGTTGAGATACAATCCCCATTGAAGCCTGTAGTCTTTGATCTTCTGTACCTACTGTTTGAAGTTCTCCTCACTTTCAGCAAGCAAGGCTGTGTCATCTGCATAATGCAGATTGTTGAGTCTTCCTCCAATCCTGATACCACATTCTTCTTCGTGGAGTCTTCGAGTCTAGCTTTTCAAATGATAGGCTCATTTGTGCACAGACTGAATAAGCACGGAGAAAGGATACAACCCTGATTGATGAACACCTTTCCTGATTTTAAACCACGCGGATGCATCCTTGCTCTGTCTGGACAACAGTTTCTCAGTCTAGGTATAGGCTTCTTATAATTAAATGTTCTGGGATTCCTCATATGTATTTATGCCCCTCATATCTATTTCCTTGAAATCATAGTTGTTGTCTGTTTCTTTTCCCTTTTCATCTTTGGCTACTTTTATTAGTTTCGTTTTGTGGTTGGGGTGTTTTTTGTTTGATTTACTGACTGAATATTTCCTTGTTTTTAATTTCTTTTAAAAATGCAGTAGCTTGATGAGTGATAGTATAAAAATCACATTTTTAGATAACACTTCTTCTATATTAAAATGCATGAGGCATTGAGAATAATCTACTATTATTTTACTTTATAACACTTACCATGGAGCATAGAATTCTATAAGCCACAAGCTGTCACTCTGAATAACTTCTCGGTTAAAATTTGATGGAGTTAATTCAATCACATCATCACTAGAAGAATATAGACCATTCACTGCTAGAAAGAAGGTACAGCTCACCAGACCTGGAATAGTAACACAAAGCACACAATTAACAGAACTGACTGGAAGAGACCTGTGTTTGCTCCCATTCCAAAAAAAAAGGTGACCTGATAGAGTATGGAAATTGAACAATATCATTAATACAACATGCAAGCAAGATCCCGCTGGAAATTATCCCCAAACCACTAGAACATCACATCAACAAAACGGCCAGATGTGCAGGTTGGGTTTAAAAGAGGCTGTGGCACTAGGGCTATTATAGCCAATTTTAGATGAACCTTAGCTGAAAGCAGCGAGTACCAGAGGAATGTCTATGTTTCATTGACCATGCAAAGGTATTTGTGTGGATAACAACAAACTGTGGCTAACTGAGAAGAACAGGAATCCCAGAACACTTGATTGTACTTATGAGAAACCTATACTTGGACCAGGAGACAGTTATTAGAGAAGAGCAAGGAAACACTGAGTGGTTCAAAATCAGGAAAAGGTATAAAGCACAAGGGGGTTAGGAGGAGAACAGAAAGAGTGGATAATGAACATTGCATTGGAAAAGATGAAAGAAACTGTTGAAAAGGAATATGTGATTAGGCATTATATAAAGGATAATAGTCCAGAATTAAGAGGGGTACACTGCAAAGAGGACTGGGGGAGGGGGAAGGTGATGGGGGCAGGGTGGGGAGGAAGTTGTGCAACAATGAATAAATATTTTAAAAAAGAGAAAGTGAAGTGGGGGAGGGGGAAAGAAGAGGGGGAATCAACAATGAATGAATGAATGAATGAATGAATGAAAATCCAGCTTTGCTATAAACTTTCACTAAAATCACAATTAAAAGAAAAAATTATTTATACACCAGGGATGCATTCTATCTCCATACCTTTTCAAACTATATGCAGAACAGATCATTTGGGAGGCTGGGTTCAATGAGGAATATGGCATCAGGATTGGAGAAGACTCAACAAACAACAACCTGTATTATGCAGATGATACAACCATGCTTGTCAAAACTGAGGAGGACCTGAGGTATTTGCTGCAGAACATCAAGGACTGCAGCCTTCAATATGAATTGAATCTCAACATCAAGAAAACAAAGATTCTCACCACTGGGCCAAGTGGGAGCATCATGACAAATGGTGAAGATTTTGATACTCTTAACAGCTTCAGCTTGCTTGGCTCCACAATCAACACTCTTAGTATTAGTCGCTAAGGAATCAAAAGACAAACTGCACTGGGAAAATCTACTGTAAGGAACTATCCAGAGTACTGAAAAGCAATGATGTCAGCCTAGAGACTGAAGTGTGTTTGATGAAAACCATGTTCTTCACAATTACTTGTTATGCATCAGAGAGCTGGACAATGACTAAGGATGACAAAAGATGTCTTTGAGTTGTGGTGCTGCAGAAAAGTACTAAATCCTGGAGAGGGTGGCTGCCCCTTGGAGACAAGGATTTTGAAACTGTCCCACATACTTTGGACATGTTTCAAGGAGGGATCAGTCCTTGGAAAGGGACATCATGCTTGGAAAGGTGGAGAGATAGTGCAAGAGAGGAAGACCCTAGATGAGATGGATTGACAGTGACAGGGGTAATGGCAGTAGATGTGTCAGAGACAATGAAGTTGGCTCAAGATAGTGTAGGGTCCAGAGCTGCCGTACATAGGGTCAGTATAAGTAGAGTTGATGGGACTGGACATAACAACAAAGCTCTGATAGGAACCTTTAGACAAGCCCACAGTTCTTCAAATGACTAGGGCCCTTCACACAAGATGGCCAGGCACATTTATGTTGCAGCCCTTGAAGTTTCATTCCCACTGGCATAATACTGAGAAAGAAGGGAATAAACAGTACCCGTTTTCACTTCTACAGTTTCAAAGACAATTTTAAGCACTGTTCTGAAGTGCTTTTCATGTACTAACACCTTTATTTTTCAAACTCTAAGGGGTACCAGTCACAACCAGATCAGGTGCTGAATGTGGAACAGATCATCAATTACGCATGTCAAGTTCAAACTGAGGCTGAAGAAAACAAATACAAGTCCATAAGAATCAAAATACAACCTGTAGTCCATCCCATCTGAATTTAAAAATCATCTCAAAAACAGGTTTGAGGCATTGAATGCTGAAGAGACCAAATGAGTTGTGGGAGGATATCATCCATAAAGCAAACAAAAGACAATTACAAAGAAAGGGAAGTAAGGAAAGACAAAAATGCATACAGAAGAGACTTTGAAAATTGCATTAGAGCCAAAACAAATGGGGAAAAAAATGCTGATGTAAGAGAGTTGAACAGAAGATTTCAAGGGCAGCTCAAGGATAAATGAAATGTGCCAAAAGCTGGAGTTAGGAAATAAAAGGGAAGAACTTGCTCTGCATTTCTCAAGTTGGAAGCACTGAAAAGGAAGTCCAAGCTTCAAATTACAACACTGGAGGATGTTACCAGCTAAATCTTGAATGATCCAGGAAGCATCAAAATCAAGGACTACACAGAAGTCACTGTACCAAAAAGAATTTGCTGACACACAACCATTTCATGAAATAGCATATGATCAGGAACTAATGGTAATGAAGGAAGAAGTTCATACTGCATTGAAGGCATTAGCAAAAAATAAGGCCCCAGGAACTGATGAGAATAAGTTTCTATGAAAAGATACAGCCCTGACGTCAGTCTGTGTCAGGAAATTTGGAAGGCAGTTTACCTGACCAAGTGACTGGGAAAGATTCATATCTGTTCACTTCCCCAAGAAATATGATCTAACAGAATGTGGAAATTATCTAACAATATCATTAACATGTTGCTGCAAATAATGGCTATAGCGGGGGGGAAAAAAAGTGTTTCTAAGCCTGGTCGTCAATTTAAAAGTGTGCAGCAACGTGTCAATATCATATGCAAATAATATTATGAAGAGTATTCAACAATAGCTAGAATAACACTGACAGGGAACTGCCAGAAGTTCAAGCTCAATTTAGAAGAAGGGCATCATACTGATGTCAGATGGATATTGGCTAAAAACAGAGAAAACCAGAACAATGTCTGTGTTTTATTGACTATGCAAAGGCATTATGTGGATCATAATAAATTATGGCTAACACTGAGAAAGGTGGAAATCCTGGAACACTTAAATTGGTTTCATGCAAAACTTAGATAAGAACTACTGTGTGAAGAGAGGAAGGGAATACTGTTTTTAAAATTAAGAAAGGTGTTTGCCAGGGCTGTGTCCTTTCTCCATACTTGTTCAATCTGCATGCTAAGCAAATAATCTGAGAAGCTGGATGATATGAAGAGGAATGTGGGATCAGGATCAGAAGACTCAACAACCTACACTGTGCAGATGGCATAACTTTGCTTGTTGAAAGTGAAGAGGACTTGAAACATCTGCGGCAGAAGAACCGCTCCCTTCATTAAGGACTACATCTCAATTTTAAGCAAATATCCTCACCACTGGGGCCACAGACAACATCATGATATGTGGAGAAAGGATTTAAGTTGCCAATGATTTCATCTTTTTTTAGAACCACAATCAACATCCTTGGTTCCAGACTTGATGAGATCCAAAGAAGTGTTGCATTGAGGAAGTATGCTGTCAAGGACTTCTCCAAAATTCTAAGGAGCAAAAATGTGAAAGACTAAGATGCATTCTTTTCAATTATTTGCTATGCATTTTAAAGTTGGGCAATGAATAAGGATGACAGAAAAATTGATGCCTTTGAATTATGGTGTCGGAGAAGAGTACTGAATATCCCAGTATCCCATGACTCACCAAAAGACCAAGCCAAGAGAACAATGTTTTGGAAAAAGTGCAAGAGTACTCATCAGAGGCAAGGATGATGAAGCCCTGTCTCACATACTTTGCCTATTGTTAGGAGAAAAGGACATCATGTTTGGAAAGGTAGAGGGTCAACAAAAGAGAAGATTCTCAACTAGATGGATTGACGCAGTGACTGTAACAATGGGCTCAAGTATATCAGAGCTGGTGAGGATGGCAAAGGATAGGGTTAAGCGTCAGATCTCTTGTTCACAGTGTCACTATGAATCATACTCGACATCACCTAACAAGAAGAACAAGGGCTAGGTATTATTGACATTTTACATGTGAAGACACTGTAAAGCTGGGAGGCTGCATCTATCTGTGTGACCATGGAGTTCATACAGTATTTCTTCTTGCTGCCATGTAATTCCAATATTAGTCCATCTTTATTATAACATTCTTTAGAAGGGAAAATTCATTATCAATAACTCCCACCAGACTATGACTCTCAAAAGCAACGGATTCTTTTTAAACTTTATTTATTGAAAAACTTTATAGAAGGTAACCAGGTACTCCGAATGCTGTTGGATCAACTTAGAAACACTCTTCATGTGAACAGTGCTAGAAAAGGATAATATAGAGTCAATTGTATTATTAATAATACAACTCAGTCACACTACAAAGTGTATTTTTGCTAGCTAGTCTGGAAACGTATGTTTTTAACAATCACATAGGAAAACAAATTCTAAACTGACTTACTAAGATTATGAGAATGCAGTTGTGGTGTTTTGTTTTGTTTTTTTCTACTTGGTGCATACCAGCAGATACAGCATCAGAGGAAGAACCTTCTCACTGGGAATCACAAGAGGAGGAAGAGCAGTTGCAAACAGTCACTACTGATTGGAATGTGGAATGTGAGAAATATGAATTCAGGAAAATTGGGAGATGTTAAGGAAGAAATGGAATGCATAAATATTGACATATTTGGCACTGATGAAATGAAATGGAATGGCATGAGACATTTTGAATCGGATAATCTTATGCTCTCTACTATGTTGAAGATGAAAAAGTGAGGACAAATGGAGTTGCTTTCATAGTTAAAAAGACCATTTCTAGATCCATCTTGAAATACAACGTTTTGAGTGACAGGATAATATCCATACATACACAAGGAAGTCCTCTTAATACTACTGTTATTCAAATATATGCACCAACAATCTGGGCCAAAAAGGAGGAGCTAGATGATGACTTCTACCACTTTTTGCAGTTGGAAATCAATCAA